ATGATAACAATACAGAAAAAAAATAATACTTTATACCTTCTCAACACTAGTTATCAAACAGTTTCAAGGCAAATACCATTTTTTCCCAACAACTTTGAAGATACTGGGTAAAAACAAATTAGGCTTGAGGAGGACCATGTGAACCATACACATTCTATCTGCCTGTACACATTGTAGCAATCAAAGAAATAATGTCCTATGCATACTTTTTAAAAATAATCATGACAAGTAAATAACTAATTCAAGAATAATCTGGAGTTTCCAAAATTTGTGTCCACTGCCTCTTTTAGATGGTAAACTGTTAAATAATATAATTTGTAAGTGTTTTGAACACTGACATTCAAAACCAGCAGAAGCCTAATTTGAACAGTTCATGTTTATCTTGTTAGTATTTATAGTTAAAATAGAAGAACAACTTTTTTTTTTTTTTAAGATGGGATCTTACTATGTTGCCCAGGCTAGCCTTAAACTCTTGGGCTCAAGCAACCATTCCACCTCAGTCTCTACAGGCACAAGCCACCATACCTGGCAAGAACTACTTCTTATTAAAACCTTACTAGGTGACAGGAATTAGTCTAAGTCTTTGCAAAGATTATTTCACTTAACTCTCAAAACAAACATAGAAAGCAGGTATTATTATTATCTCCATTTTTCAGATGGAGAGTCTGAAGCTCAGAGAATACTCAAATTGTGCAGTGTCACATGACTACCGAAGGGCATTACAGGATGGGAAGGCAGTCCACCTCGTCAGGGCCTATTTCTCACCTTCTATACTATCCTGCCTCACAGAACATAAAGAAATGGCTATCTCTCCAGGTAGTAGACTTTAATCTTCCAGTACTTCTAATGTGTCATACACAAGCAGAAAGGTTTTCTGAGCAAGGAATTCTGAGAAGAAAGCCACTAACAGGAAACACTTCTGAAGGATAGTTACATAAAACAACCCTGGCCGTCACCAGATTCCACTGTAGAATGTCAAGCTCACAGAGGCCATGGTGCAGATGGAGGTGGAAAGTTCAGTTGGTGACACCAGGAGGTTGAATTTTCCAAGCCACTACCTGCACAGGTATTCTTATATAGCCTTCCTTTAGCAGAAACATCACTAAGGTGTTCACATTAATGTAAGATGTTTACATTATTTCCTTTATTTTCATAAAGAGATATAGACTATTTGCTTGAGTATAATATGTAATCAAACATGACTTATTCTTTTTGAATAATACGAATATTTTCCATAGAGTCTATTTTGTTATAATGCAATTGTTACAGATTTAAGAAATACTGCATTATACCAGCAATTGCTCCAAAGTAGGGAAATAAAGTATTAGAAGCTAAAAAGTTTCAAATACAGTTAAACTATCCTAGAAGAATTACAAGCTTAAAGATAATGCTAACAATAAATCAGTTGATTAAAACAAATCAAATCTAAAATATTGCTGAGCAAATCCTGAACAGCAAACGGATTAAGACAAAACCAAAATGTTGAAATCATCACTAAAACACATCCACGAGAAAGCATAAAACCAAAATGTACTGCTGAGAAAAGTAAAAATCAAAATAAATTGCAGCCAGTTCCCAGCCACCAGCCAAAGACGGTAACGGCAACTGAGCCCTTCAAACAGCAACAAGACTTCTCTCTGTGTGCACAAAGCCAGTACCTTCTGACATCTGCATCGTGACTAGTAGCAATGGGTGAAGAGCAAAAGGCACTCCCCTAATTAGTCAAGCTAGCCGCAACAGCCTTGCCTTGGACCTTGTTAGAAATGCAGACTACTCTCTTGCCTCGCCCCTGAGTACCAAATCAGAAGTCACTTCTTAACAGATCCCAGGTGACTGGGATGTGTGTTAGAGTTTGAGAAGCCCTGGATCAGGTCTGGAGGTCAGAGGGAAGGGAATGGCTCCACCTTCTTTATATTCTTCTCCAATACTGTTTCTATGGCAGCCAAAAAACTATTAATTTAGGCAATCTCTGAACTCTGAAGATAGCTGATTGTAAGATCAAGCACAGAACCTCTTCTAGTAACTGGGATCAAACACAGAACCTCCTCTGGTAACTCCTAGGTGAGTTGCAGAAAATGTGAACAGGTTTGAGAGGGAAAGAGAAGGAAAGTCAGTGCAGAATACATTAGGAAGTTACTTGCAATTTTAAGAAGCATGGCAGTGAAACAGTAATGATGCTTCATTACTGCCCAGACAGCGTGTGGCATCACCATGTAGGGAAGAGTGAGGCCAGCCTAGCAAGCCTGCTGACACGGCCTGGGGTGGAAACACCTGACTCAAGGCGTGGAGGCGGGTAGGATTTAGATCAACATTCGATGCTCTTAGTAGACTCAGATCTAAACTTTCACAAAGCAAGGAGTTATTTGTCAGAAAAAGGAATGGGTAGACCTTAAGTCAAAAAGAAAAAGAGAGGCCAAGAGGTGAGAAAAAGATTTGGGAACTTCAGCTCCTCAGTGGTGGAAAAGGCTCAGCAGAGCCTATTTCCCCCCAAATACAACAAAAGGACCTAGACAGCGTACAAAGGAACAATCTGAGGGCTCTGGAAAGCAAACAGAAACAGGTAGACCGTGGCAGGGAGTCAGATCTGGAGCGGTGGCCACAAAGATGATAAAGTTTGCCATTTTCTTTTTCCCTCTTGCTAGCTCTCATGTCTCCTGGTCAGTATTTCAAAGGCTTATCAGGTGAAATGTGATCCCAATGTTGGAAGTGGGGGTGTTTTGGTCATGGGGGCAGATCCTTCATGAATAGATTAACGAGGGGCCGGGAAGAGGGAAGGGAGTTTTCCATCTATTAGTTCCCAAGAAAGTCTAGCATTGCCTCCCCTTGCTTCCTCTCATTATATGACCCCTGCACATGTGAGCTTCCCTTCACCTTCCACCATGAGTGGAAGCAGCCTGAGGCCCTCACCAGGTGCCCAATCTACCAACCAGCAGAACTATGCACCAAATATGGCTTTTTCAAATATATAAATTAATTATTCAGTCTCAGGTATTATTTATAGCAACATACAATGGTCTAAAATAGAGACCAAGTCCCCATTTCAGAGCTGTACATTGGTACAGTGGCCAAAGTAGGAAGAACTCCACCAAAGTTTTGGCTACCCCCAAGCTATGAATAAGTGTTAAGAACCCAGAGCAGCATAGCAAAGGCTTTGCAAAATGAACTAGAATTAAAACCAATGCATATGTCCCTGAATGATCCAAGCATCACAGGCATGGAACAGACTCAAGCACCACAGAAAAGACCAAAAACTAAATGGAGTCATGCAGACTGAAACTAACAAGACTGATGACCAGCTAGAAAATTTAACATTTTCCAGAGGAATACAACAACATTTCCAATCTACACAATGTAAAGTTCAAAATGCCCAGGATAAAGTTCAAAATACCAGAACAAAATTAAGCAACATACAAAGAACAAGATAAGGGTGACCAATTCTCAAGTAAAAGCACAACCAACAGACATCAACCCCAAGACAACTCTGATGTTGGAAGTACTCAAAACAGCAAAACATCTGTCTTAACTAAGCTTCATGAGGAAAAGGTAAACACACTTGGAATTGATGGAAAAACAAAGTCCTTAGGAGATAAACAGAGACAATAAAAATGAGTTAATTGGTAATCTTACAATTGAAAAAACACAATATCTGAAAGAAATAACTCACTAGGTGGAAGAAACTGCAAAAGAATAAAGTAAAGAGTGCGGGATCTTGGAATTCAACCAATAGAAATGATCAAATTTGAAAAACAGAAATAAGTAAGAGCCTCGGGGACTTGTGAGACAGTGTGTTTCTAAGTAACACAAGCAATGCTAACACCTAGTGACGCTGATGGCTACTTCCAATGTCTGTCCATGGGAGGGAGCATCGTTTCCTGGAGTCACTGCCATCTGTGTGAATAAACAGCCTTGGGACAGACCTCTCAAACGACTCCATCCTACTAAGGCGGTGGTCTCAGCTTTTCCACTGATTCTCACCCCCATAACTGTCACTTCGAGTTTACATAGGAATGATTAACAAAAGGTACCATGCTCCTTTATTCCAAAATTTCCTCAAGTCATTGGCTTCAATATCGGGAGCTTAAATACCTCTCCCTACATTGCTAAAGAAACACAACAAGGGTGGGCTGGGGTAACACAGAGCCTGTGAGACAGTATTAAAGCTCTAGTATAGTCACTACTGGCACTCCAGAGTCAGCAAATGTGAGGAATCAAGGAGAAGTAAAGAGTCTTTTGGCCTTAGTAATGCAAGGATGGAGTTCCCCTTATGCTATAACCCAGAAACAGATCGACAGAGACCTGCTTGGGAGGTCCTGCACCCAGAACAGATCAACAATTGTGGTGTTCCCCCTCAGTGTCCTTCCTCTTATCTATACCTTCCCTAAAGGACTTGCAGGGAGAGGTGGCAAACACCTGCATACAGCACTGTGGAAAAGAACTCCACAATCAGTTCTGAGAACACCCCTACACCCTCATGTTCGTGAAGTCTGCACAAGACACTTGCTGGAATGCTCATGGGGGTCAAAACAACCAATGTTTGTGGAAAGACCCATGTACGTTTATTAACGACTTTAAAGCCATTGTGTTAACCGACCTTCTAGACTGAAATATCCATTATCTTTTCTGTAATAGTTTATTTTGCTGAAGGTCTAAATGCCTTAAAATGAAGCTTATACCATGCTGCTGCCTCAAAATGATGCAAAACGAATTTGCACTGTGTTCCAAAATGTTCATTTCTATTATTTAGTTGCCTTGGTAGGCTTAATATTAATATCTTACAGTGGTGTTTGCCGCGCCATCTCCTACACAGACTACACTAAAATAACAGTACCATTCTTCACCGACATCTTGAAAGACAAAAGTTTTCATTTCAGAGACCAAGCAAAAAGTGTTCAAAATGAAGGGATTTTGAGCTTGAAAACTTCAAGAATGATGTGCTTTGGAGTTAAATTTTCATGACTTCACCTGTTTCCTCAGACTTACACACAAAAATAAACACTTACCAACCAAGACAACAAGTCTATATTTCTCATTAGTTTGCCGCCGATATGGAGTTACTTCTTCATATGTGGGCACATCGGCCGTATCATACTGATCACTTTTCTTGCATTCATACATGGATTTATTTGTTTTCTTATCTTTTCTACTGAGACGAAAACTTCTTCTAAAACCAGCTGCAAATATTAAAATAAATATATTTTTTAGCAATAAGAATAAAGAAAGAAAATCACAAAAAGCAAAAATAAAAAATCCCTCAAAGTGGGGTTGGATTTTATTCACCATAATATTGTTGTATGTATATTTAATAAGAGAAAAAACAGATACAACACAATTTCATTAAAACAGCAATTTATAATAGAATTAACTAATATTTATTGATACAGTTATATAACAATATAAATTGCATTTGATTCTAAATCATAAAGAACTCTTTTTAGAAATAATTGAGTAAAAACAACTGTAATAAAGTAAAATAAGTTAGAAATCAAAATAATTTATCATGAACTAATTGGTGAACACATTTGATATGAAAAAGTTATAAACACTATCAAAGTATTTTAAATATAAATGGCAAACTCTCATTCATAAATATTAACACATTTTATATAATATTCTAAGAAAAACCTATAAACATACCTGTGCCACAGACAGCGTCTATTGTTAAATAAAGAGAAACTAAATTAGGGAGAGTATAGTGTTAACTATGCTCAGCATGTATCAAGCTGATAGAACCGGGCTCAGTCAATAATCTGTCGGTCCTAAACAAATCACTTAACTTTGAACTCCAGGGTGCTGGAGTAAATAATCAAGCCTCATTCTTTTTCTCTGATGAAAATTTTATGCTTTTATAATTTGAAGCATATGAAGTTAAGAATTGAGTGTCACAGTCTCAATTGTGTCAGATGATGTTTTACTAAAATAATTTTTAAATAGTTAAATAGGTTTTATGCGTGCTTAAGAGCCCTCTTCAGTTCACTGTTATCACTTACACATAGGCTTAAAAAGTTTAGGCCAAAGTTCCTTTTCAGTCAACTTTACTTCATTCTGCTTGCAGTGCATACTCTTGCATTGTTCTGGTTTTATTTCCTTTCTAGAACAATGCTGAATATCATACACACCATTCAATAAGTCAGTGCAATTGCAATCAATTCTCTACCTAAACAAGTTTTGCATTTTCAAAATCCAGGCTTTCAGAGGAAAGAAAACAGGCCGCTTATGAAAACATTATATACATTCTGTATCAACTCCATAATACAACACAAAATGCAAGTATATTTTAGAGGTATGAAAATACATTCCCTTTGATAAGAATATTGATCAAATTTGATAAGTAGAGAACTTTTTTAAAAAACAGAAGTATTTTTTAACAAAATGCAAAAATGTAATAAGTAGTTGTGTAGCTTTTAGGGAATACAATTGACCCTCCAAATCCAGGGGTTCTGCCTCAGAGGATTCAGCCAACTGTGGACTGAAAATATTTGAAAGAAAAAATTGCTTCTGTACTGAACATGTACAGACTGTTTTCCTTGTCATTATTTCCTGCACAATACAGTCTAAAAACTACTTACATAGCTTTTACATTGCATTAGGTATTACAAGTATCCAGAGACGAGTTAAGGTATACAGGAGGATGTGGTAGGTTATATGCAAGTACCACACCATTTTATATCTGGGACTTGAGCATCATGAATTTTGGTAACTTAGGGGGTCCTGGAACCAATCCCTCGTGGATACCAAGGGATGATAGTATAAAGGAAGGGAATAATTATTATCTTTGAGTTTGAGAAATGAATAGGAGTTAAAATAAAAATATTTTAAAATAATTATTAATGACTCAATGTGAGTTATATGATTCATCTTATGGATTCGGAGTTTAATAAAATAGAACCTTCACAAAGGTAAAGAGGAGTCACAAACAGGACAAGTAATGAAACCCTTCGATGTCTCATAAAAAGAGGAAAGATTTTAGGGAAGCAAAAGGGGAAATGGGTCCTCCAGGTACTCAGATGAGGAAAAGAGGTATGGATTCTAATAGCACAGGTTCAAAGAGAATTCAGACTTCTATGGAAAGGGCCAGAGGAAAAGTTGTGTGTTATTCTTTGTTCTTTCTGTTTTCTAGGTTACTGAGAACGATTCACGAGAACCTAGGAAAAAAACGTTGCTTCTGTGGCAGTCTTTGCACCACACCAGAGTAGCCAAGATTTTCACAACCAGCCCCATGCTTTGGCACGTTTCTTCCTAACTGGAAGAATTTAGCCATCCCAGTCCACTCCCACTCCTACTCTATAACAGTAAGTGCTGGCCCAGACAAGGGTCCAGTACAACAAGGCTTCTGGTTGACAGTGTATCATACCAAAATGATGCATTAGCTATTCCAGCAAGAAAAGCTAGAATGCTTGTATTTCTTAATGCTCTGATTTCAGGTTCCCATGGCTCTTGCCTCATGAAAGGCAAAGACAGGTAAGCAGATAGAACTATCAATTCCTTTACAATTATTCTTTGTATGGAGGAAGTGTTTCCCTCAAGTCCCTATACACTTGCACCTATAGTACAAGCTACACAGGAAGACCACTTGAGGCCAGGAGTTCGAGATAGCAGTGAGCTATGATCACACCACTACATTTCAGTCTGGGCAACACAACAAGACCCAGTCTTTAAAGAATAAAAACAAAAGAACCTGGAAGGCAGGAATGTGTATCCCCTGTAATTCCACAGCACAGGAAGAGATATAAAGAGGACATAAATGCCTTATCCAAGACAATTGAAGTCCAAAAGTGAAAACCCGAAAAAAAATTTCTGGCCAGAGAATCACAGCTAAATCTTGAATTTCAGTGTGTTTACCTTGTTGAGTTTTTACAGTTTCCTGAATTTTTTACTTTCAGCATAAGCAATAATGAGATAGTAGGAATAACAGAGAAGTAATCAGGTTTCTCAAGTGAGGTTGCATGGATGTCAGAGATGGGACCACATTTAATAGAATGGTTTGGTGATACCAGTTGTACAAGGCTTGCTCCAGAATAGGTGCTTGATAAAAGTTTACTGAATTGAAGTAATTTAAAAGAGCAGCAACAAAAACTCTTACTATCATTTTCGTTTCATCTTCTTAATGTATATTTCAGCGAAGAAAGCATAATATATTTGGTATTCTCATGAGAGTTAAAATTGTATGTGGCAGACCAAAGGACAACACACTGCACATGAGGAGGCCTTTGAGTTGGAAGGAACTTGGGAGGTCTTCCGGGCCTGCTTCCCACCAGGCACAGATGTCACTGTCATGCACTGCATTCATTCTCAGAAGTTCCAGTATTGACTACCAATAAATGGAATTCACACAGGTTATGAAGCTCCAGTGCCAGGACCAGTGTCATCATTTTACATTTTACAAAACAAAAGAGAAAAGGCAGTCAGGTTTCAGGATTAAATAACTCACATGAGGCATTTGGCCTGGTCCCTAGCGTATGGTAAATGCTTATACATGTTAACTACAGATTCATGCTTGGTTATGCTTCCAGTAATTAAAAGAACCTTAACTCAGGAGGCCGAGGCAAGAGATTCACTTGGGGCCAGTAGTTCAAGATCAGCTTGGGCAACATACTACAAAAAAATTTAAAAATTTAGCTGTGAGTGGTGGCATGCACCTATAGTCCAAGCTACACAGGAAGACTACTTGAGGCCAGGAGTTCGAGATTGCAGTGAGCTAGGATCACACCACTACATTCCAGCCTAGGCAACACAGCAAGACCCAGTCTTTAAAGAATTAAAACAAATGAACCTGGAAGGCAGGAATGTGTAATCCCTGTAATCCCACAGCAGAGTCTAGTAAAAAAGGGGAAAAGTAAATTGAGAGGCTCATCAATACATTTTAAATTGGTTAATGTTATAAAAGAGACAAAGTATTAAAATTAATGCCAGATTTAAATTTGTTAAATATTTTAATTGCCTATTGTATCTTGTTAAGTGGTAGTGAATTTTATTAAGTAGTAAATGCCTAGCATATCTTGTTAAGTAGTAAGGCATTTTAAATACAACAGAAAGGTTTAGTATCTACTAACTATTCTTTCTAGGGATGTATGTTATTTGACACCATATTTAAATTTAAAGAGCATCTTACCTTCCATGGGTCTTACTTTTTACTTACTCCCATAATCCACATATATATATATATATAAATGCTCCATGTTTACATATACATACATCTTATACAGATACACACACATATATATGCATATCCTAGCCCAGAGCAACCAATAAAATAGCCAGAACAAAGGATATAACAAAGGTATGAAATCCACAGTCGTCAGTGATGGTATACTTAGCATGCCTTTTCAGGCAGTGCAGAGATTGCAATTTTCACATTTCAGCAAAATAATGAGTTATGGGTTAGTACACCTTAGTTAAGTCTAAGCTTAGAGGAAAGCAAACTCTATATCAGAAAAAAGGAGTTAATAACTTTCAGATCTTACTAGGTTCTTGTGTTAAAAGACCAAAAAATGTGACCTTAAACCAAAAGTTAGTGGGGGATTCTTTTAGATAAATGTGAACCTATTTGATTTCAGTTCATTTTCAGTGCAAGAGTCTTAGCAGGAGCTGGCTTTTAAAAAGAAGGAAAAAGGAACATTAACAAGGAGTTTAGGGTAAGGGAACAGTTTTACACAAAATGTATTTTTCCTTATATTTCACATTTTCATAATTTATAATTGGCTCAGCATTTTTATGGACAGGCTTTGTCCAGGGAGCTTACCCACAGCTGCTGGAGATTTGTGCTTTTGAAAGGAATGGTGAGTTTACTTTACTACAACAGGAAAGAGGCTTCACAGTGAGACTGCAGCTGCAGCCAGCCCCTAATCACAGACACGCTCATCTAAGATTTTCCAGCACAAATAATTTATGACAACTTGTTAATTTATCAGATAATTTACAGCTTTGTTTAAAGTAAAAAAATATATATATTAGTTAAAAAGGGAGAGATTTAAGTTGCTTGTTATTTGCTCCTAATTTTAATAAGAATGCAATCAACATCTCAGTTCATACCTTGATTCCATGTCACAGATGATTTCATCAGGACAAATTGCTGGAAACTAGCTAGATCCTGTCCAACTGCTTTTCAGATGGGTTAACAATGTCTATTTCCACCAGCAGTGTGCACGATTGCCCATTCCACCATTCTCTCACA